CTGAATCTGGCGTGGCCAGTAAAAGTCACGACTTACCGTGAGGTAAGTCTTTTCTTTACCACGATGGCCGCTTGTTGGGGCATCGTGACACTCATACATGATGCGTAATCGCAATTCATCATGAGTGGGGACGACGACACGAGGCGTGTCGTCGGCAACAGCTGTATAGTACATCAATCCGTTGCGTGTCGTATACCGATCCGAGGAGGATCGGTACAAAGCCGGTAAATCCCTCATTGATACACTGGATGGATTCACCAGATGATCCATCAACCACAGAAGATCCTTATCTTCTGCGTATGCCTTTCTTACGTCTTCAAGTAAACTTGACGACGGGACACTGAATGACAGTGTCGCAACAGTGGGCTTATCCTCACTGTTGAACTGTGCGTCCGGCTCGAAATCGGGCCGGCGCGAAAGCGCATCAGCGACGACGTTGAGTCGTCCTGGTTTATACTCCACGGAGAAGTTATACTCCGCGAAGAAAGACAGCCACCTCGCCATTATTTGCGAGAGGTGTGGGCTGTTTACGGCCGTGCGTAATGACGCATGGTCCGTATAGACAACAAACGGTCTATCTCCCAAGAGATAGACCCGGAACTTAGCCAGTGCGTACTTCATGGCAAGGAGTTCCTTGTCATGCACTGGGTAGTTACGCTCAGCTCATTGCAGCTGACGAGATTGATAGCAGCTGACGCGCTCCGCGCCATCTGCATCGAACTGCATTAACGCACAGCCGATCGCAAAATCGCCGGTGTCACAGACCACATGAAATGGTCTGTCCTGATCTGCAATCGCTAACATGGGCAATTGCATCAGGCTTTTCTTGATAACTTCAAAGGAACGCTGACAATCAGCGTTCCATGACCACTTGACATGTTTCTTGAGCAAGCAAGGAAGATAAACAGTCATCTTGGCACATTTAAACGAATACTTGTGCAAGTACGCCGCTAATCCAAGGAACTTCCTTAGTCCCTTGACATCGACTGGCACAGGCCAGTCGGTGATCGCCTTGATCTTCTCGGGATCGAGGCGTACGCCATTCTTGCCAGCGATACACGCAAGAATTAATATTTTGCTAGCCGCGAATATAAACTTCTTGAGGTTGGAGTTCAACTTATGCTCCCCTACAAGTTGACTAAACTTGACGAACGTGAGCTCTGTGAACTTCAACGTCCGTCTTCCCGTCCATAGCCCGGCTACGGACGAACACATCTTTTGAACGTTGCAGGGGCGTTACTCAGCTCCTGTGGCATCACTTGTCACTCCCACAGATAACAGCTTGGGTTGCTCACTGCCGTGTACGGGATGTACCGTGCACGTATGAGGATCTGATAGAATCCGTCCATCCGATCCATGGACGAGAAGATGGTACTCTTTGACATACCATCTATGATTACGTCCTTCCTCGGTATCTGCGTCTGAGTCGGTACCGTTGCAGCATTCAACTTGTTGAATGCGTGCACTATCCGCTATCGTCCTGTGGGCTTTCGCACACAGAAGGTCGGATCTCTGTGAGGGGAAGTTGATCCTCTCACATGGCCCGCTTCTAAGCGATCGGCAAAGAACTTGTCGATCGCTAGTACTTGTTCACAAGGCAGTGGCCACTGCTTCATGAAACAGTACTTCGAGCCCGGTTTGAGCTCGATCTCGTGTCGAGTGCCTTTGTACTTAGGCAACTCGCAAGGTACGGATTCAGGGAACACATCCTTGAATTCGATCAAATCCTTATACAAATAATTTGCCTGAAGTGACTCCCAGGATTGAGACGTGTATCGCTCAATCCGAGTCTTCTGATCGAGGACACTTTCGTCCATCGATGAGCTGCTGAGAACCCGTTCGTTCTCAGCAAATACTGTGGCCGACCGAATATCGGCCACATACTCATCCTCTGTGACGAGTACGCAGATCTGCTTGACTTTGTCACTACGCAGATCACGCAAGAACCGTTTCGGTTCTAGCGTTAGCAACTGAGTTATCTCCGAAGTTAACTTCGGAGGCACAATCAGATCAAGTGTATAAGCGCCTACACTTGATCCTTCATTGACCAAGACGTTCAACGTCTCGGTTTCTTCCTGGAAACTTGCTTCCACAGGTTGCTGAGGGCCTGATCCTTCAGCAAGTGACTCTTGAGGAATTCCTTCCTCAATCACGTGAAGACTTATTCCCTCGACGTCTTCCGACTGTGGCTGTGCAACCACAATCAGGCACCGATCCTCTCTGGTCGACCCTCCAGTCGACCTAGGATATCCGTGTTGCCGCTGGTGGGCAACCGGTTTTCTCTTGCTAGGATTTTGCCCGCTAGGCGTGCATCCACGTCCCGGTCCACTCGACTTATTCGATTGGTGGACCTTCGGCGCCGCCTGTACTTCTGTATAGCCGCCGGGAGCTTGCTCCACAGTGTAGTGATTAACTACACTGTGGTCTTGTGCAGTCGTGCTAACGACCGTACCGCAAGTGAGGCCATCGCACTCAATCGCAGTACGTTCGTACGCTTGTGGACGCTCCATGACGTTCATCAGATGGCCATCTGATGAACAAGCGGCAGGCAACTTCACGGATCGATGCTGACAGCTCACCCTTGGCTCGTACCTTCTGAGCCAAGGTAATCCCAGGATGACATCGAATTTGTCATCCAGATCCTGTACGATGATGTCATCATCGTACTGTTCGCCCTTCAACGTGTTGTGGATTCCTACTACACGTTTCTCAACGGTAATCGATGCGCCTGTTGCAAGGCGCACCGTCATACTCGTGAGGGGAATGTCGCGCTCAACGAACTTGAGCCTACGACCCTCTAAGGACTGACGTCAAACAAAGTTGTTCGACGCCCCACAGTCTACTAGGGCACGAAGAGACAAATCATTTGTCGCTTCCAACTTCAAGGTGATGATCGAAACGTCATCACCAGGTGCAGAGACACACAATGATTGTGTATCTGGAGCAACTTTCGTCAAGATATTTGCAAATTCCCTTGAGGTTGCTGGATCAGTAGGGCGCTCCGCCCCTACTGACCCCGACCATTTTTTGATGGTCCGTCTCGCTGTTGCGGCTTCGCAACAGTGCTGGACCCACGCCCATTGCCTCTTTTGGCAAATGAACGACCAATTCGCTCAGTACTGTTTGGTACTGGGCGTGGAGCACTACACTCATATGCGTAGTGTTTCAACTTCTGACAGCAATTGCACTTCTGCAATCTCTTGTTGTTTGAAGAGCAAGGTTTCCCGCTCTCAACATAGCAGAGGTCCATTGGTTCTGGACCTCCGATCTCTTGTCGTCTTGGTGGACGATAAGAGTTCGAGCTAGCATGAGCCTGTCTCATGCTAAAGCCTTCCTGTTCCGCGGCTGATATCGCATCTTCTAGAGCATCCAACTCTAGACGGAACAGGTTATTTCGGACGGACCCCTCAGCTAGCCCTTGCATTAACACAGTAATCAACGTGTGTTCACGGACTGGGTTAGCAGTTTTACTACTCGCGAGGAGTCGTATATGTTAAGCCTAAGCGTGCACATCACGCTTACCCTGCTTGAGTTTCAGGAGCTCTGAACGAGCCCTGAACTCAGCCCGTGGGGGCTCAAACGTTTGTCGGAGCCGGGACTTGAAGTCATCTAGCGACCTAAAATAATGTGGGTCGCTACTCTCGAGCCCCAAGGACCAATTTTTGGCACGTCCTGCCAATTGTATTGAGCAAATGTGAGTTTCATTTGGTCATCTTCGACGCGACGAGCTCTTAAGGCTCTGTCGAGTTCGACAAACCACAGTAACAGGGAGTCTTCCGATACTTCACTGTACTTGGAGATGTCGACCTTCAAGATTTCGGGACGACACGCATGTGTCGTCCCGCCCACAGCAGCATCAAATTGCTGCTGTCTCAACAGCTCTGTCTGTTGAGCACCGAGTTCTCTCAACTGCTCGGCCTGTTGAGAGCCTTGCTGGTGAAGCAAGGCTACTTTCTCCCTTTCGGCGACAAGTTCACTTTGGATGAACTTGGCTATAGCGGCATGTTGTTGGTCTCTGTCTAGAGACCCCAACATGGCGCTAATGGCGAGCTCGCCCACGGTAGAGCTCATTAGACCTACCGCACTCCATTCGATGTCACATAAATGGGTAAACCCTTCACGCGTGGTGTGAAAGGTCTCTTCATCATCCAACATTTTCATGTTGCGTGCTGTGGTCCTTGGAAGGACTACAAAGTGCTACCAGGTGTAACGGGGCACACCCTTGCGTGAACTTAACGCAAGGGGTGTCGGTGTCCCGACAGACGTACACGAGGCAAACGAGGAAGCGTGGATAAGGTAAAAGCAGAACTGTTATATTAATATAATTTAGTCTTTTAACTACTGTCTCTCTGTTTGACTTAACTTAATTATACTAATCTAACTGAGTGTATGGTGACGTCTCGTCACCACTCATTGCGCGCGTCTTGCGGCGATTGGTGGGTTGATATCATAAAGATATCAACCAATGAACAGACTCTTTGGTCGACCCTTCAATATCACCACTTTGGTGATATTGTTCAAAGAATATTCAACTTCATATTCTTTATTGTCATTGTTTCTTTAAAGTGACGATTCCATGTAACGGGCTGCCCCGTTACAAGCCTTGTCTCTTCGTAGCGGTCGATTTGATCTCGCACGGCGTGGTCGACACACTATTCTAGGACGATGCGACCTCAAATCACGGTGCTAGAGCATGGCGACATGTAAGCACGGTTCCAGACCAGGTCAATGACTCTTCTCTGGCGGGACGGTAAGGTTGCCTGATCCTCGACTTCAACATTCGCCCTTCATTTGGCGCAGCAACTGCTATGGACACCACCTCTTGCGCTGGATAAAAGGCGGGAAAAGATGTGCACGGTCTGGTCCTCTCGTGCATTCTCTATCGCTCAATGACCACGCAATGACTCGACCATAGCGACAGGCTTTTCAAGGAGCAGCTCAGTACACTCAGTCACGTCCACTTTTGCTTATGCCTCCCACACGCAACAGGACACTCCACAATGCGCGTGCTCTGTCTCCGTTTGTTCGTCCTCGCTGCTCTCTACGGAGTGCACGGCGCGGACGCTTCGTTGGACAAACCCGATTCGTTTCGGTTTCGGGCTCTACGTGCGGAAGAGTCACGTGCTTCTTACGCAACCGACCACCACGTGGCTCCACCGATGAAAGACGGCGAGTCGGGCGGGGAAGAGAGAGGCCAGATAGGGCGGGGTCTCAAGCACCTTGGCGTGGAAACCGTGGCACTGTTTGGCTACAGAAAACAAGTGCCTCGATATGACGCCGACTTGAACATGGAAATGATAGAAAAATTCCAAAGTAAACGTGAGGAAGCGGCGCGACTGAAGGAAGCGGGGCAAAGTGAGGAAGCGGCGCTAAGTGAGGAAGCAGCGCTAAGCAAGGAAGCAGCGCTAAGCAAGGAAGCAGCGCTAAGTAAGGAAGCAGCGCTAAGTAAGGAAGGGGTGCTACGGAAGGAAGCGGATCGACAGAAGGAAGCGGATCGAGAGAGGGAAGCGGCGCTACGGAAGGAAGCAGATCGACAGAAGGAAGCGGCGCTACGGAAGGAAGCGGCGCTAAGTGAGGAAGCAGCGCTAAGTAAGGAAGGGGTGCTACGGAAGGAAGCGGATCGACGCAAGGAAGCGGATCGACATAGGGGAGCGGCGCGACAGAAGGAAGCGGATCGAGAGAGGAAAGCGGCGCTACGGAAGGAAGCAGATCGACAGAAGGAAGCGGCGCTACGGAAGGAAGCGGCGCTAAGTGAGGAAGCAGCGCTAAGTAAGGAAGGGGTGCTACGGAAGGAAGCGGATCGACGCAAGGAAGCGGATCGACATAGGGGAGCGGCGCGACAGAAGGAAGCGGATCGAGAGAGGAAAGCGGCGCTACGGAAGGAAGCAGATCGACAGAAGGAAGCGGCGCTACGGAAGGAAGCGGCGCTAAGTGAGGAAGCAGCGCTAAGTAAGGAAGGGGTGCTACGGAAGGAAGCGGATCGACAGAAGGAAGCGGCGCTACGGAAGGAAGCCGCTGCAGCTGGAGGTCTCGCACCAAAGAGCACGAAGAAGGACGCTAATTTAGCTTACATGAAAAGCTTGGATTTGGATAAAGCAAACGTGCTACCGATGGATGCAAGGGCGAAAGCATCGCAACAGACTGCTGCAGCGCACAATAAACCAAGTCGTAGAGACCGTGGGATCTTCGTATCAGTGAAGAACTTTTTTGCAGCTATAATGAAGAAGCTGCGCCGTGGGCTCGAATCAGTGAAGAACATTTTTCCAGGCACGACGAAGAAGCTGCGAAATAGCAAGCAGCAAGAGCTGCGAGATCGAGCTGACTAGAGCGGTGGATTCGGGTCAGACTTCCAAGGAATAAATGCTGAGATGCCAACGTTGCAGTGATGCGTGTACGGTTGTGCGTACTTGGACCGGAGCAGTTGACGACCACTGAGACCGCTGCGCAGTTTTTCGTGAGTCCTCGTGCTGCTGAAAGGTTTACAAAAGTTCATGAGTACGAGCAGTACCCCAAATCTCATCCTTCGTAGCCGAGGTCGTAGGATCCGGACTTTCTAGCTGCCGAACTGCATTCCTCCTCGACGTTGCGCAGGTCCAGTTGTGGAAGATTTGCACAGGTACAATCATTCGTGTGCTTGCTTCGTACTAAATCTGACGAGAGCAACTAGCATCCTCACATGACGTATATACATGTACATATCTAATGAACATGGGTCCGAGAGCTATGAGTTCTATCATCTTGTTATCTTGTTTGGTGTGCTGAAAGTGGTAACAGAGATGCTGAAGACTGGAGAACGCAAACGGACGACGCGAGTCTCGTCCCAGCGTCGACATGTTGTTCCAGTGAACCAGTTACACCGAGCTCGGAAAGAATAGCAAAGTCCTAGTCGTGCCCTTGTCGACACCGGACGCTCGAGAGACAAGTCATAGTAGTAGCAGAGCGATGTCGGAGCTTGAGTTTTCGCTAGCCACAGCGTGTCGATTGACTACCACAAGGTGGGTGCACATCCCGCACGTAGATGCGTGGGGTCAGCTTGCGTTGAGAACAAACACGCTGCTTTGAGCGATGACGAAAGCAATGGTGCTACTATTCGGTGTAGAATGCAGCTGAAATAACGCAAACAGAGCAACACGCGTGATTCCACGACGTGTGGCAGTGACTGAGGTTCGAACAGGACCGTCGTCCATTAATCGGTCGACTCCAGTCATGTATTTGTAGCCGTGTGGTTGTAGCCGCTACGAAGTTCATATCGCCATTCACACAGTTGTTGATGCGGTTCACATGGAAAGGTTAAAGCTGTGGGACGCAAGCACGAAAGACGTACATGTAAAGATCTGAATCATTACAGCACAGTCGCGATCGTGATTGGCCCACCGTTATCCGTAATACTTGGGCTCAAAGTGGGTAGTAGTAGTACCTCACTCGAGCGACCGTTCGACCGTTTCGCTGTGCGCTTTCCAGAACATGGCTTGACTCGTATTTTAGCCAATCGTTTGCTGTCACTCCTCGTCGGACGCCTCGCGTGTTCCCATAAAACCAATAAACGATACTGTAATCCAAATACGCATTACCAGACACAGACAGACAGACGGACAGACAGACGGACAGACAGACCGACAGATAGAGAGTAGGGACGAGAATACAGGCCGAGCGAGCACTCTATGGCCATCAATGGAGACGAGTGCAAGCTTTTGGATGGCGAATTCGCGGCGCTGCTGCAAGTACTTCTGGGACTCATTGCGTTCTCCGTACTCGTGTTCAAGCGTCTGCGCGAAGTCCCTCGACGTCCGTTGATCGTGTGGTCGTTCGACGCGTCCAAGCAAATGATTGGCGCGACGTTTGCCCATGTCGCGAATTTAGGGATCGCGCTGGTCCTGTATTCGCACCAGCAACCAGTGGAGAAAGCTGACAGCAAAACTGTGGACCAATGTGCACTGTACTTTGTCAACTTTACGCTCGACACGACGTTTGGCGTCGTGCTCAACTACGTGCTGCTCTCGGCACTGGCGCTCTTTGCGCTTCGCATGGGCTGGGTCGCACTGCAGACTACTGGGGACTATGGCACGCCTGTCCAAGTGCGCACGTGGCTCTTGCAAGTGCTTTCGTGGATTGTGGTGATCTCTACGTGCAAACTGATGATTGCAGCGGTGATTCTGGTCTTCCAGCAACCGCTTGGCGCGTTTGCCGTGCTGCTTTTCAAGCCGCTGGAACAGCATCCAGACGTCGAGTTGGTGCTCGTGATGATTGCGTGTCCCTGTCTGATGAACGCGCTGCAGTTTTGGGTGCAAGATAGTTTCCTGAAGAAAGACGTGCGGGACGAGAGCTTTGTCGTGGCTCAGGCCGTGCAGTCGCCTCATCCCCACGTAGACGGTGAGTCTGGTAAAGTGCCTGCTCTCAAGACACCTGCAGCCGAGAAGTGCAGTGAACCTGGAAAAGAAGAGGCGACACTTGCTGTTGTGGCTCGTGAGGAGAAGCAGGAAGCGGAACCGGAGGTAAACGAGTCAGCTTCACCCGTCGTGCCCATGCAAACCATGCCCTGTACTAGTGCTACTAGTAGCCCTCCTTCAATTGAATAGCAGCACCTGGTGTCGTTTTCTCCATACAGAAATTCAACTTCTAGAATCGTAGTCATTACCGTCATCGTCCTTCAACCCTGTTTACCTATTTGCGCCGCATCAGCATAAGAGCTACAGCACCCAGACCCACCAGTGTCGCGGCTCCACCAGCAATGACGTTGTTCGTGAGCGAGAAGCTGTGGTAGCTGCGACCGCCATGACGATTCATGCGGCGAGATTTCTTGCTCTTCCGTCGTACGATCTCCTCGTCCGAACTGCTGCCGTCGATACTGCCCTCATGCGATGCCATCTCGTCTACCTTGGTAAGCAACCGGCTGTGCGGCTTGGAGCCGGCCGCGTTTGACTCACTCGTAGCCGCACTCGCAGCTGAGCTGACAACACTACCGTTGCCGTCATGTTGCTGACGCTGTACTACATCTACCTCCATCACTAAACGCTTCCACCCGACGCGCTGAGCCATGTGCACAGCCTCAACAAGACTCTCATCGGACGTCAGCAGCGCTAAATCCCCCTCGTCGTCTTTGTACTTAAGCCGCAGCGCCTCGTTGTTGTCAAGACCCATTTTGAATCGAATCTGATCCAGGAGTGGGCCAATTGACTGGAACTGGCACATTATGCGATGGAAATGGCCCTGCGGTCCGTCGCTAATCTTGAAGACAAAAGTGTTCTCGTCTGTCGACTTCTGCATCAAGACACTTGTCGTCGTGGTGTTGGCACCGCTGACGACGGAGACGCTCTCGCCCAGTTCCGCATACGCACCCAGCGAATTTGAATACCGGCCAGCTCCATTGGTACCCACAGCACTAGCCGTCGGAGTGGAGATGCTGCCTCTAGCATTAAACTCGTCACGTTCGAACTCCTCGATAGTGCCCACAGAACGGGCGTCATCGTTCACTCCGCCATACGCACCTCCCGCTACTTCTTCTTGCAAATTCATCGCGGTCTGCCAGAACTGTCTCCAGTCGCCATTCGATGTACCACCCGAAGTGGTCTGAAACTGGCCGTAGCTCAGACAAATGACGTCCGCCATACCTAGGATCTCGCCATCGTCTGCCAGCACTGGCATGAACAGCTGGCGGGCATCGTGCAGGGAACGCAAGCCTTCCACAATGCTTACGTCGGGCCCCATAAGATCTGGGTCCACCGTCATCACTTCTTCCACCGTAGTGCTTTCCGCACACAGCCCCTTCGCCACGAGCTTGCGCAGCAGATCCTTGGTTGTCACCATACCGCACAGCTCCTGGTCATCATTCAGAACGATCGCAGCTTTCTTCGTGTTTGCCATCAGCCTTGCTGCGCGTGCAGCCGTGGTATGAATATTCACGACTGGCGGCATGATCTCGCCGTCGAGTGCATCTCCCACGGTAGGCCGTACCATTTTCTCCATCATGGGGCCGAGTAGTCGCTGCAAATTTGATCCGGAACCAAGATCCCGCGAGAATTCAGACGCTGCCGCCTCTGTTGACTGCTGCACCTTCTCGAGACATGTTATAGCGTCGTACAAACATTTCGAGATGTCCAGCATACCTTGTGGTATGCCATCAGAGCCGAGGACAGGCAAGTGCTTGAACCGACCCTCTAGCATTTTCGTTATAGCCTCAATCGCCTGGTCTTCCATGTACACACACGAAGGCTTTGTGGTCATCACTGACGCTACGGAGCAGCTCTCCGGATCCAGATCTTCCGCCAGAACGCGGCGCGTGATGTCAGTGTCCGTCAAGATACCACGAAGCTCGCCCTCCTCTGTCGTCACCACTACCGCCTCAACACGAGCTTGCCGCATGCGCTTCGCAGCCTCCGACACAGTGATAAACTCGTTGATGCGAGTCACCTCCTGAGGTCGCAACATCGACACAGGACGCATCGCGCCTTCCGGCTCAGCGACATGGTCGATCATGGAAGAGTGGTGGCTTTCCGTGTACCTACCAGGGCGTCGGCGCGAAATTCGTGAGCCAGTCATACTAGCGAGCTCACTGAAGCTATCTTCATCGTAATCGAGGGCCAGGGACAAGTCCCAAAAGGCACGCCAATCCAAGTCTTGATCGGTGGCCTTGCCACTTTCAGCTGCAGCGCCGCTTGCGAATGTACCGTAACACAAGGACAGCACATCCAGCATGCCTACAATCGTCGATGTTTCGTTGTTGACGACCGGCAGGTGCAGGAAATTGTGCTCATACATGATGTGCAATGCTTCAATAAGCTTTGTCTGCGGTGGAGCCGTCTCGGGATCAGGCGTCATGACCTCACCGACTGTCGTCTCGGCGGCGTCCAGACCTGCACCGGTTACCCGTAGCAATAGATCTTTCGGCGTGAACACACCCAGTACTTTTCTTGTGAGTGCCGAGGTGCCGATGTCGTAGCTTCCAGTGCTAATCGAAGAGCGCTGTCCTCCACTGACAGAAGAGCTGTTATCACTTGTCGGATCGTCCACAATCAGTGCGGCCTTACGAGACGCAGCCATCTGGCGCGCCACTTCCATCACCGTATCGTGCTTACTTACGAGAGGAGGAAGCGTCTCGTCTTCCAGAATGGAGTCCACCGTGGGCGAAAGAAGCTTCTCCACCATAGGACCTACAAGCTGCTTCAGCGCGCCCTGGCCAGCACCAATACCAGTAGCTTGTAACTGCTTATCGAGGCGTTGCCGGAGCGGGCCACTTGACAGCTGCTGCACTTTCTCAATACGTGTGATGGCGTCGTAAAGACACTTCTGAATACGAAGCATTCCCGCAACCATACCTGATTCGTCTACGACCGGCAAGTGACGGAACTTACCCTCAAGCATCATGAACATAGCATCCATGGCACTATCGCGTTCGTCAACAAACTTCGGGTCTGGGGTCATTGCATCCAGCACGCTCACATAAAACGGATCATTGCCCAAAGCCACCACGCGTCGAGTCACATCGGTATCTGTAAGGATACCGAGAAGCCCGCCATCCCGCCCGATGATTAGCGCTGCGTCCGTTTGCGCGACACTCATCTCTTTGGCAGCATCAGCAACTGAGACTGTCTCCGAAATTGTAATCGCCTTCGACGGCCGCAGCTTCGATACAGGGCGCACGTTTCCTGTTGCCAAAACCGCTTGTCGGCTCTTTTGGCTAACGCCACTGGTGCTTGGCGCAATGTTGTGAGAAAATCCGCTGTAGAAACTGTGGTGCGACGACACATCGTCGCCAGTTGCCTCAAATGAAGCATTCCAAAAGGATTTCCATTCGCTCGGCTTACCCTTCGCGAACGAACCATAGCTTAGAGAGAGCACGTCAATCAGACCAATGGGCTTTTTGTTGCCCTCAGATTGCATCACGGCCAAGTACAACGTTTTGTTGTCGTGCATCGTGTGCATAGCGTCAACCACCGAAGATGTCCCACTTATGGTCACATCTTTTTCCAGCATCACTTCGCACACAGGTGTCGTGTGGACAGGCAAGCCACGAGCGAGCACTCTCTCTAGCAATTCTTTGGGCGTAAAAATGCCACAGAACTGACCGCGATTATTTACAACCAGAGCTCCCTTTCTGGTGACAGCCATTTGCTTCGACACTTCGTACACAGACGTGTAACGCTGTACGCGAGGGGGGTCAATGCCTTCTTCATCAACCAGCGTTTTGAGGTCCGGCGCAAACATCTTGTCCACCATAGAACCAAGAAGGTGAGAAACTCCACCAGAACGTCCATTCCCACTCACGCGGCTCATCATCTCCTTCTCTAACGTGTGACGCAATAACGCAGATGACTGCTCTGACTTTTCCATCTTCCGGATCGCATCGTACAAACACTTCGCAATGCTTAGGATGCCTACAACGGGACCGTTGCGCTCGACAACCGGTAGATGACGGAACTTGCCTTCCAGCATGGTAATAAGCGCATCAACAGCAGGGTCATCCATCGACACAAACACAGGGTTACGAGTCATGACATCACCCACTAGCGTGGAATCTAGTGGCCTGTTTTCCGCTACAACACGGCGCGTCAAATCCGTGTCCGTGATTATACCGGCAAGCATCCCATCTTCGGATACTACCAGAACACAATCCATTTTCTTTCGACCCATCGTTCGTGATAGCTCCGCAATGGTTGTTGTCTCCGAAACAGTCAGCACCTTCGTTGGCCGCAGCTTCGCCACTGTGCGACTCTTCTCCTCACGCTCTGCCCTCGACAACAACGTGGTGCGCTCACGGTCACCTGCCTCCGATGGCAGAGATGGTTGATCGAGCTGCAGAGTCGTGTTCCAGAACTCATGCATCTGCTCGCGATCCTCACCATATATTGCGTCGATCGTGCCATAGCTGAGATCAAGAACGTCTACCATACCGACGAGTTCGTTCGAATCATCCTTCAGTACAGGCAAGTTGAGAATGCGGGAATCGTGCATTATTTGCAACCCGTCCAGCACGGACGTCGTTGGCGTGGCAATCTCAGGGTCATTTAGCATCACGTCTTCCACATATGTGGCCGAAGCCTTGAGACCCTTGGCAATTACGTTGAGCACCAGTTCGTTAGGAGAGAAGATGCCAACGAGCTTATCAGGGTCAATATCATCAACAATCAGCGCAGCTTTCTTTGTCATTGCCATCGCCTTCACGACTTCGCTCACTAAAGACGACTTCGGAAGACGTGGTGCCGGTGTCGCACCATTTTGCATCTCGTTGTGCACGATCGAGCCCAAAGTAGGTGCCGAGAGCTTTTCCAGCATTGGGGCAAGCAGGTGCTGAAGAGCTGAAGATTTGCCACTTTTCTCTAGCGACGCCTTCAACTGATCCGTCGAGTGCATGGCGTGTTCGAGACGCTTCGAGACGTCGTAGATGCACTTGCCGATATTCAGGACACCAGCTATACTGTTGCCGTCAACAACAGGCAAATGACGAAAATGTCCCTCTTGCATCGACAGAAGCGCGTCAATCGCACTGTCATTAGGCGATACGTACTTAATGTCTCTCGTCATCACGTTACATATAGGAACCTCTTCTGGAATCAAATTCAGCGCCAGCACGCGGCGACATATATCGGTATCAGTAAGAATACCATTCAAACCTCCACTTTCATCAACAACAAGCACAGCGTCCGTTCGCTTTTGCTTCATCAATAACGCAGCTTCAAACACTGTTGCGACTTCATCAATAGTGATGGCGGGAAGAGGGCGCAAACTGGACACTGGACGGACACTTACGCCTTTGTCGCGGTCTTTCTGTTGGCGAACCTTGCTAGCAACAGACCAAGTGGACATCGATCTGCCTGACGTCATTGACGTAGTCTCATCATCGTGATAGTCGAATGCAGCGTTCAACAGCTTACCAATCTCGCGAGACTCACCAAAAGTTGCGAAGCTAAGGGATAGTACATCAGCCACACCCATGATCTCGCCGGAACCCGACGATACCACCGGCAAATTAAGAAACTTCCCATCGTGCATGATATGGAAGGCATCGAGCACTGATGTCTCTGGTGCGGCCGACTCCGGGTTCGGAGTCATCACATCACTGACGGACGTAGTGTTCACATCCAAATCTTCCGCAATCACGCGAAGCAACAAGTCTTTCGGAGTGAAAATTCCGATGAGGCTCTGCAATTCCGAAGAAGACGACACCACCAAAGCTGGTCTTCTGGCCTCCGCCATGTAAGTCGTTGCCTCGTAGACCGTCATGTTTCCATACACAAGCGGTGCCATGACCTCACCTGGCGCGGACAGCACATCACGGAGCGTGGGAGATAACATTTTTTCAAGCATTCCACGCAGCAAGACGTTGTCTCTCTTTGCTCCAAGCTCCTGCTGTAGTGAAGCTGACATGTTCTCTGCTCGTCGGATCGCATCGTGCAAACATTTTGCAACGTTGAGCACTCCAACGATACTACCGCTCTGGGAACTAATTACTGGTAAGTGGCGAAATTTTCCGCTAAGCATTGTATCCATAGCATCTACTGCACTATCCTCCAGGCTGACACAACTGGGGTTCCGTGTCATCACTGACGCAATAGCAACTCTGGCGGGATTCAAGCCCTTCGACACTACACGCTGTGCAGCATCCGTATCGGAGAAAATACCAGTCAAAGCTCCTTCCCAGTTAGTCACGAGAATAGCGGCGGCGCGATGAGATTTCATCATTCTTGCAGCTTCCAACACAGTCGAATCTTCACGAACGGTAATTGCTTTGGCCGGACGGAGGCGAGCAACCGTGCGTGACGGGTCCGCCATTGACGACGGCTTTTTCGCTTTCGAAGACGTAGACATCATCGACGAATGCGACTTCGCATAAGAATGTCCTGACGTTGTCGAGCTATTTGAACCTGATCGCCGGCGATGCTCAAACGGTGGCTGCTTCGTAGAAGGCATCACTGGGTTTAGGGTTTTCGACTCCCAGCGAACGCTCGGAGAAGGTCCATTGTAAATTGCGGGAGGCCGTCTCGGTACCGCACTGGGTGCCGCAGGAATTTCTTTGGAGACGGTCGAGGTATTTACTGGTGCAGCAACTGCCGAAGGTTCTTTACGCAATTGTGCCGAAGGTGATGCAAGTGGGCTGGCCAATGGAGCTGGAGCTGCATGACATGCCTGTAGGGCTGATACTTGAAGACCCTCGGAAGCAGACCGCTTCTCACCAGGCAGAGCAGCAGGTGCAGAGCTCGGTGCGGGAGGCGTCCGTGTAGCAGGCTGTGGTTCGGGCTCCTCTGGTAAAGGCGTTTTGTTCTTCGGGGAAGGGGCTGCTGCTGCTGAAATCGCTGGTGGCACACGCTTCTGCGGAGAAGGTAGCGGGGTAGCTGTTTTCAAAGTGGCAGGAAACTTTGCTCGTTTCTTCTTCACGGCATCAATATCTTTCTGAAGCTCGGCACACTTGTCGAACTGCTTCTGCTGCAGCATGTCAGCAAGTTCTTGATTCAGCGTCTTCAACTCAGCATCCAATTCCTCAAGCGTCTGCTTCTGTTTCCGAGCAAACACCAGGGCGTCCAAGATGACCTGCAAGTCGCTGCACTTGCCATAATCACGTGCCAGTAATGCTTCAGCAATAGTTGCTTCCGTAGCACGAATACGCTCATCGAGCTCTTCCGCTTCCAGCTCGTCCAGGTCTTCTTTTACGTTCTTCCGGGCTTCTTGCAGCACCTCGAGCTTCTTCTGTAATTCCGCGCATAGGCCGAACTGCTTTGACATTGCAGCCGCTTCCATATCCTTGTTCAGCATCAGAATTTCGGCATCAATTTCCTTTGCGGTGCGAACCTTTTTTCGAGCCTCGACGATCGTTTCAAGCTCTAACTGCAAATTCGCACACAGCTCGAACTGTTTGCTCGCCACAGCGTCTTCAATGGCCTTTTCCATCAACGCAATTTTCACGTCTAGCTCCTTAGGATCCACCACCTCTACAAACGGATGAAGCATATCTCGCTTGCGCACCATATATCCGCGCGCAACCTTTTGTATGACAATCGCCTTTCCATTTCGCATACGGTACTCCGCAAGCATCCGTTGGTATTTGCTCACGGCTACGCTTCTTCGTAGAGCATACATCACGCGGTACGCACTACGACGCAGCAATTGCAGCCGCTTTTTCGCGACGAACTGACGAACCTTTGTTTGAATTCTGATGGTGGCTTCCACTCTCGCGATATTGCGGACCCATTTTTGAATAGCACGGGCGGCAGATTTGCACCGTAACGTTTCAAGCTTGCGCAGCTTGGAAGCCATGGCCCGTTTGAGAAACACCTTCGTCTTGCCCAGTTGCCACTCTTCCTTGCCGGCACCCAGAATGGACGATATCTCCTCAGCAAGCTCCTTGATATTGTGAGCATCAGGGGCAAGAGATTGGTAGTCGTAAAAGAATACATCGTGATCCTCGCGAAGAGCGAAACCACGCTGGCGGATCTGAATCGCCTCCATCATACCAGAGTATTTCAGCTGACGTGTGCAATCGGCACCATTGAGCTCATTGGGGCGCTTGACTTCGTTCGGCTTCAAGCAACGCACGTACCGAGGGTTCGCCAGCGAAATCTTGTTCATGAGCTCTTGCAATTGATACCGAAACTGAGCGCTGACAGAGACTTCTCGGATATTGCGCGATTTGTTCCCAGGCTGGTTACCCCTGCCCTTCATCTCACTTGGCCGGCGCGAGAACGAGTGTTGCTGCTGTGGCTTGTTACCCGGGATAGCCTCGATTGACTGCATGTTAAGATCAAACATTCCACGCAGCCAATCGCTCTTTGACTGCCGAATGAGCTCTTTCATGTCGTCATTCAATGTCTCGTTGTTCTTGTCATTAAAGCCGCTTGCATCGTAAATCACTTCACCGGCGTAATGCTTGATACCAAAATGCAAGTCGGCGTCCATCTTCGGATGCACGTAAAACTTGTTCTTACCGCTTGACTGCCCGCTAGATGTACGACCGAAAGAGTTGTGCAGATTAGACACAAACTTCTTGTTCGCTTCTTCTCCCTTCAAACGCCAGTTGTCGTCCAACGAAATGAAGATGCCTGGCTTGCCGTTTACCTTACTTTCAATCAAATCCAAGCACTCCTGATTGTCCTCAAAGTCAATGTGCTTCCAGTCAATCCCCTCTTTGGCGTAATCGTTCTGTTCAACCTCCAACATATGCTGGTTGAAGTGTCGCTGGAGCTTCTCGTTGGCGTAGTTAATGCACAGCTGCTCGAACGTGTTCCACTCGAACTTTTCGAACCCATAGATATCCAGCACTCCAATAAAGCCCCACTTGTCTTGGTTGCGCGAGATCGTGCGGTTCAGCTCGGAAACGAGCCATAGAAAAAGCGACGAGTAAATGCCCTTCGCAAGCGCATCACGCTTGTCGCGCACCTGATCCGAATGCTGCTGCTGCACAATGACCTTGCCTCCCACATAAAGCTGGCGAGTGAGCAGCGCCTTCGATAGCGCATCCTCGCTCACTTTTAGTAACGACGCCACGAACTTCAAGCCACCGGCCGAGTCGTCGTCTACAGTCACACACGTGTCGTTCTCCATGGCAAACTGCAAGTTGCCGAGCTGCAGCACTGCCACAAGCAGCTGAAACACCATCTCCTGACGCTCGCCCGTGATACCAATATTCTCCATGCATCGCTTCGTCGTGAGAAACTCCTTGGCATCGTCGCACGAGTGGATGTGGAAGCACTCGCTCTTCCGAAGGTACTCGTAATCGTGCGGCGTCTGCAAGTGTAGCCGTTCCCGGAGCGCATTGTCTGCGCCCGCCAGCAACTGATAAAAGATGTGGTAGTTCCGCTCGCCCAGGCTCTGCGACACAATGCGTGTTTTCTCCAGCAAAAAGTTGAGGATCTGCGCGCCCACAATCTTGCCGTGGTGGTTGAACTGGATCTCGATAAACTTGCCAAAGCGACTCGAGTTGTCGTTCCGCAGCGTCTTGGCATTGCCAAACGACTCGAGCAGCGGATTGCTCTCGAGCACGCGCTCCTCGAGCTTCCCCAGCGCTCCCGACATGCTGCCCGCGGGGACCGTCGAGGCTGCAACACCCGTTTCGACTCCCACCGAACTCAACGGCGTGTCCCCGTCCGACGCCTTCTCGTAGCTCGTCGCGCGCGCCAAGTACTGCATAATGATCTTGGTCGTCTCGGTCTTGCCCGACCCGCTCTCGCCGCTGATGATGATGCTCTGGTTCGCCGGATCGAGCGCCCCGCCCTGGATCAGCTGCGTGTACGCGTGGTCGGCCAGCGCAAAAACGTGCGGCGGCAGCGCGCCCATGGCTTTGCCATAGTACTCGGTCATCTTGTGCTCGCTGTAGGCCGCCTCGAGCTGCTTGTACGGGTTGATCGCGATGAGGATCGAGCCCACGTACGTGTAGATGAGCTCGTGCTCGTAGCGCTTGCGCAAATTCGCCAGCAGCGACTGCTCCGAGAGGTCCGACATCTGCAGAATGTCGTCGAACGTGGCGGCTGCGCCTGCGCCCATCGCGGCGCTGTCGTCGTCCGCGAGCTTCTTCTTCATCTTGGCGCGCAGCAGCCGCTCCTTGCGCGTGCCTCCGCGCTGCATGGCGCTCGCCTCGGGACGCCGAGTGGGGACGGGAGGACAACAGGTGCGCACTGCGCAAGCGGGCGCGGATTGGCGTGTGACCAAAACGAGAGACGCGGGGGGCGGCGGCGGCGAAAAAACCTCGCGGAGGCGAGCGAGGGGTAACCCCTGGGGCGAGTGACAGCGCAATTGAGCTGGTGGAACAAGGTGCGTTTGTGTGCGAGTGTGAATGTTCGTGGGCGTTTGTTGCCACAAGACGGTGCAAAGGATGGACTCGGGGGGGTGTCAGATGGGAGCGATAGAGTGCAGGTGGCGAAAGCGACGAGAGGGCAGTATATGGAGGTGTCACGATGGATGGTGTGTTTTCTGGTTTTGGGAGAGGCGGTAGTTGCAGATGGCGAATTGCGCGGCATCGAGTTGCTGCGAGCTTAAATGGTGTCACTAAAACCAGGTGCAATAGACGACAGAGCGAGGTTTTATTGTCACATCGGCAGACGAAGATACGTGCTGGACTTACCGCATATAGCACGAGAACCACGTCCTGTTCATAGTGGTATGATGGGCTCTCTCCGGTGAGGTCGTGACAGACGAAGTTGCAGTCTCGTGTAAGTTGTCAAATTTGGTAGCATCACCCTCATTCGGTGGCCGCTAAGTCTACCAGAATGGGCACCATAACTTACCCAAAATGGTTGAAACAAAGCGTGGATCAAGAGGCCAACCAACATCTCGACAGTCCAAATGTCTCTTTACAAACGCTACGTCTAAACAAATCCGGCCCGCTGCTGTGCATCATATAGGATGCGTAACGACAATACTATCGTCTTAATGGACACGTTTATGACGAAGGTAATCTACTAAGCCACGCGTCAAGCGAGAAGCGGAATGACGTGTCCATTCGAACATCATATTGAGGGCTGCAAAGAGCCTCATGAGCAGCTAATGCCGGCACTGAGTTGCCTTTGATTAGACTCCACATGTGATCAATGGGGCATATGTCTCACACCTTTGGCACGAGCCAAATCTGTGAACAAGCATGCAGATAAGACCCTTGTCAGCAGCGTGAAGATCAGCAAAAGCTCGCGACTGGTTTCGTGTCTTGTTCTCGCTCATGTCGGCCAATGGAGTGTCCATGTCCCTTTCGTTTGGTACGGTCACTTGGCTATGACCACTTCATCCGAATTGTCTTTTGTGCAAGACATCCAGAATGAGTCAACAACTTGACATCTCTGCAGCAGGCTGTTGAGCTCATCGTCTACCGAGCATATCATTTATTGGAGGGAGCACCGTAAGCGGAATGTTGCGGAAGTCGCAAGATTCGACAAGGAAGTATAGAGGGTGGCAAATCGCGAGAAAAGCGATCGAGACTGGGGTTTCGATACGAGTCGACCTCGCAATGTGGCGACGATCTCCACAACGCCACAACACCAAACGTCGTGCAAGAAAGCGGAGTCATCATTGAATGGTAACGACTACGATAGATGCATCGACATCACGTTTCGCTCCCAGCTGTCCATGCGGCGTCTAGCACCGTATTCAGACACTGCCCAGCAGAAAAAATGCAGCGAGCCAGCGTTCCTTCTGGCAGGCGACATGCTCGCTGACGCCACACCTTTTCTGCTCTGCTGGCTCTAGTCGACCTTGATGGACGCGTAGATCTTGCGCGTAAACCACAGCGAGGCACCAACGCCCACAGCTCCCGTCAGCAGTGACAGAGCAGCAGATATGGCCGCCATGTAGCCAAAGTAGAGCATGGCACCGATAACGTTTGCCACGTCAAGACGCGTCCAGAAATAGTACGTCGAGTAGAGAAACACGTAGCCACCACAAGCGCCTGACACGAAGAATGACCGCCACCACCTGTACAAAGTCAACACGGGTTTAGCTTCGCCATACACTGCACGCGAGTAGATACACTCCCACCAGGTCATAAACGCACCAGTTGTAGTCTTCGGCGCACAGCTGGAAGTAGGTGAGCACAATGGTGATCTCGGCGCACGTGTTGATGAGAATCACAAACGCCAACAGCAGGAACCCAAACACGTAGTAGTACTTGTCCGTCCATAGAGACGACAACACGAAGAAAAGCTCCACAAAGATGGCGCCAAACGGCAGTATACCCCCCACGGCCGCCGCCGACATGTGCGTCATGTACGACGGCTGAGGAGGTATTGGACGCGGGATGTTGCTTGTTGCCACAGGAAACGTAATGGGCGCAGTCCTGTCATTCGAGAACAGCACATCCGCCAGACATTGTTCGTTAGCTACCTCATCAACGTCGACTCTCCGTAAACGATGCTTGCATACTTAAAGCCAAAGTAGGCTCCTGCGAACACGAGTGGCACGGAGATGCCGGTCCACAGAAAAAAGACCAGCAAGATCGAGCCAAACGGCACAGCGGCGTCCGAGCCAGCGCCCCACACGAATAGGTTCAGAAAGAAGAATAGCGAGAACAGGATGCCGGGGAAGACTACAGCCGTCAGCACCGTGCACATCTGCCAGCGCTTGCCCTTGAACATCTTGTACGTACGAGCCGAAGTGTACCCTGCTAACACGCCCAACAGCACAAAGCACACCAGTAGTGCGATCACCAGCTTACCACGATTCGAAGGCGCCAAGACACCCACAGCAGCAAAGAATAAAGTGACAAGTGCCATGCCAAGCAACTGGCAACCCGTGCCCACCATGACGCAAAAAAGCATCGGGTGCTTCGACGGAGGACGAAACACGTCTGCGTGCACGAGCTTCCAGCCGGATTCCTCACGCTCTTCGGCGCGTTCCTCTTCCGTAGGTACACGATTGTACCGATTGATGTCGCGATGAAGGCTACGCATGAGGATCATGCCCACCATTCCGCTCAGGAAGAGCACAATCACGAGGGCGTTGATGACAGAGAACCAGTGCACCTCATTACCGCCCGAGCCAGCGTCAAAGTACACGTCCCACCGCGTGCGCCAGTCGTGTTCATTGTCGAGCACCCATTCCACCGAGTACGTCCAGAACACGGGCATCTTGCCGTCCTTGTTCTTGCGCACGTACAATGAGCGCTTGAGTCCACCAGAGTGCTCGCACGAGGCCATTCGGTTCTTCTTCTCATCAAAGCTGCTGTGCGCGTACTCGAAGCTGTACGGGACAATCTGAAAGTCCACAATGCGTCCTTCATCTTCTGAAGACTCACCAGCGTTCAACGGGTTGTTGTTGTAGCCAATAATGATCTTCATGTGGTTGTGCAGCTGCGGCACCACTTCCACCTCAGCGTTGAAGCTGCCCAATGGAAACCCCACCGCCAGCCCCCCGTCCAGCGACACGGATGTGGCTGGCAAATTGTCCAAGATCCAGTTGACCCGGTACGCGTTCTTGATCTTGTCTTCCCACACGGCAATGGCCTCCTCGTCGTACTCTTGTTTGCACAGCACGGCGCATTCCTGGTCTTCGAGGAACTTGATCTCGTACGGAGAGTTCTCAATGCGATTGGCCGTTAGGTACTCGCCCAAGTTTTCCGATTTGTACTCGATCTTGTCGGGCTACATCCACAGGAACTCCCGTTTCAGTGAGTAACACACCCAAAACCCTCAATAAAGTATCCACCCCGCACCCTCGCGAGCCCATTCATACGAAGCAAAAGCAACGAGATGCTTACCTGACAAAAGGGCAGTGAGTAATAGTCCAGAGGCAGCAACGTCTCGGTCGACGTGAGGCTGTTGACAAAGATCGGCAGCGTCTCGCCTTTCCGGTACGTCACCATCTGCACGCCGGGCAGCGAGAAGCCCTTCGTGGAGGCCACAAGCGCTGACGCAGCGAGCGCCACGAGCAGCGCCGTGCGCGGACTAGTGCACGGGCCACGCATTCTGTTTTGAGGGTCTGTTGTGTGGATCGTGGGAACATGGCGTCACTTGATCGAAGACGGCTACATTGGCAGGAGCTCAAGTAAGTGTACCGGTCGGCGATGCGGACGTGTTGTAAGCGCGGAGTTTGTCCGGGTTTTGCGCGGCCGGCTACTTAACTACGATAATGTGGAAGGTTGCGACCGTGCGACGAGATACGTGCGCACGTCTCTTACGTAAGTGTACAAAGTGAGCACATGCCGGCATATAAGGACGATGAGGATAGTAAATCGGAGTGACGAAGACAGACGTGTGGCGTTGAGGAGCAGTTTGAACTCTCTATGACAGTCGGATGTCTGCCGCCGATACTCCCAACAAGTTATCAGTCATCCGCAAGTCCCGTTGCTGCGGGTCTTTTTGTGGCCTTATGCAACATCGAGCACGACTCCTCTGACAAAACAACAAGCAATGCTACGTGCGACGGTCGCAATAGTGCCTGACTTGACGCCACTGCAGCGCTACTTTAGGAACGGCACTATCGAATGACCGCGGTGTCGACCGGAGTGGCCGTCGTTGATCGCCTTCTTACGACAGACAAGGCAGTGTTTGCCGTGGCGTTGTAACGTACAGGTGAACGGTCTTCATGTGAGCTAGTGATAATCACAGGAAGTGCCGCTACTTGACCCATGTCCACAAGCGCACGTCACATTGGTGCCTGTGTTTTGACCCGTTCACAAGCTCAGTCAAACTACTTGCCATGCCCGACTCGAGTCGTGCGCAGCCCCTGCAATCGCGCTTTGCATGGCTCTGGACGCTGGAACTGCGACAATCGCTTACTCCCGTTCACGTGGTGCTTCCTGGAGAAGAGACTCGGTAAGTTGTTGAGTCTTGAGTGAACGAACGCCTTCGGCTGGAAGGCTTCGAGTAGCACTACTATCGCTTTTTCTTTGTTTGTCGCTCAACACTCATCACACGCAGCATACTCTGTCACTTCTTGACTCGTTCCTCGTCTGCTGTGCTACAGCTGCTACTGTTTGTACACATTGACTTGTGGATGGTAACTACAGACAATGGTTTCACATCAAAGACGTAGACCTTGGCAACAACACAGTTACGAGTGGAGGAATGCTACGGTCACGAGTACGACTTTAAGGTTATACAAGGATTGAAGAGACTTCCAGGGTGGAACGCGTCGTTTGTCGCTTTGTCGTTTTTTGGCCGTAAAGAAGCTGACGGATAGTGGTCATGCCGATCATAGAAAACGACGACGGGAAGTAGAGCGGTAATAAGTTGAGCCTGTTACGTGTTGGCAGAAATTTTGAGTTAATGAGAGTGTAAACTCTCAAAATTTATCGCTCCCATTGATTTACGTGACTTAGCAACCGTTGTAATGATATTACCTTTGAATGTGATACTCAGCACTTCTCCACTTATTGGCCCATATAGGCCATATCATCAGCCACATAAACCACCAGTCGCTATGAGACGCGCACAATCGGAGGTGGGCGAGTAGCTACATTTGACGCTTGTAGTCTATTATAGGTAACATAGGATCAAAGGGAGGGGGGTTATATGGAGAATCATACTATGCTATAAACACATACATTTTTGCTTCTTCCGACCGTTGTGATTTTCCTCTTTATCTGCACGTACCGTGTACGTGAGGTTCGGGAGAACCTACCTACATTACATTGTTGTCAATGTAGGTGGCTTGGAGGGGTGAGTACGATCTGGTAGGTGCCCATTACACCTGATAGCACTTCGTAGTCCATCCAAGGACCACGTTCCATCGACCAACATGAACATGTAGGATTGTGAAGAAGAAAGTCGACCCTATACGAGTGAAGGCATTAATTAAACAAGGGACATAGAAAAAATCATCCGTTTGACCGTTGGCGAACTTTATGTTGATTTTATGGTTTTGCAACTACTAAAAATACAAATATCATGCTGCCAAGTAATAGATTCATACACATAAACTGATGAGGCGCACGTCAAAGTAACCTTGCATGTATCAGCAAGTATATCGACATTAACAGCTGCTGAGAGAATACGCTTCTTATCATCTCGAGCTGATTTGACAGCAGCAGGCAAAATCTGCTGCTAGGGGGTCAACGCACTCGCGTCGACTTGAATGATCGACAATAGATTTTGTCAGGTACTGCGAAGTTCCCTTTTGAGATTATTCGTTGCGTTATACGATACCGTAGAGATTCTTCGCCTCACCGTTGACAAGACGCAAGTAACATTCTCATATCCAAACTTGGCTGGGCGCACTAAGACTTGGGCGTTGGGCATCAAGCTTCACGAACCAACGCCGTTGAGTCGTCCGATGTCTTCAAGACGCAGCTCGGGGCGACATTTGAGCCGAGCAGGGCTCGTTCAGAGCTCCTGAGACTCAGGCAGGGTAAGCATTATGTGCACGCTTACGCGCATCACATTCGATACCTTATAATTGCATATCGGCCAAATCAGTTCATAAACCCTCGTTGACCACGGATTTCATGCAGGATCTTGTGGCTTATCCGTCAAAAACCGTCTGTGCCGTCTGGAACTCGATACGATTGACCATGCTATCTCAGTGACGGGACAGGAAGGTATCAGCCTGTATTAGTCTCAAGTAATCTGAGCTCCTGCGTCAGTGACAGGAGGGCAAGACGTCTAGAATCAATGAGCATGTCCTAAGTGGAAAGCAAAAACGATTGCTGCCTAGGATACACGTAATTGCAGAAAACCGATATTTGTCAGATGGCAAGGCACTGATTCTAACAATTTTGCCTTAATTCGGTGCCTCGTACGATAGTGTGGAGCGACCGTCAGTTGGACAAGGGGTTCCGAGACGCGGGTACGGCGTTGTTGCGAAACCTCAACAACGAGGCGTAATGTCAAAAATGGTCGGGTATAATAAGGACGGAAAGTTCTACTGATCCGGCTATGTCACATTTTTTCACAAACTTGTTGATACATATTATTCCCAACGTGCAGTTGCGTGTCTTGATGAACCTTGGTCATAACGTACAACTCTTCAGATTAAAGACCGAAGATACGAAATACATGTTACTTCGACCCGAACTTTACTGTGGGGAGCTAAATATCTTTATTCAACGCTATATACTTGTTAAAAGCGAGACCTATCTAATCAGAACGATGGTACGCCTATCAGCAAGCTCATTCGTAGCAATCGAGAACCGTGTAGTTGGAAACCAAGACACGATAGAAACTGAACAATACGATGATGATTTTGTCGTAGTATAACTGAATGACGATTTCGATGTCATCCTTGGTCAGTCATGTCACATAAGATACGCGCCATGGATCATCGGGCAGCAACAAAACGTGTAGTGTTTGCCGCGTGTTCATCAGATGGCTATCGATAAACGTCTTAGATCTTTCGCAAGCGTGGAGACTATAAACAAAATTGTGCGATAAGCTCACTTGTAGATAGTTCATTCGCACGACTACGAACGAACATAAAGTGTTAAAATTACATATGATAATGTATTTGGAGTCCGTATTAAAACAATTGCAAGTAGCGACGAACCCGTACTAATGTAAATAGAATCGGAAGATAGACTATCGATGCACCTTCAAACGGTAAAACGCAGAGAAACCGTAATAATATTACCGAAAAACACACACTATTTTACAGAATATTGCCGTAGCTTTATGCAACACTTTGAATTCACTACAAAACCAGTTTTAAAGTAGCAAAAGTGGAAAAGGGTGTCCAAAGAGTAAAAAAATTCTTGTCAAATAGTAGAAAACCATCAAATATCTGCGTTGATGATGTAATGCTCGTTGGCTTTATAAAAATTCACTCGATCACACATTTGCAACTAGACTTGAGTCCCATTTTTTACGAAATAATCAAACCAGTTCTTTCTATATTTATAGAAGGCTACTTCTTTTCCATATTATATCGGCATCACTAGCGCTAAAGAGAAGTATTTCTGTACAGCTAGATGGTGGACGACATTCTACTTAACAATAAGACACGAGTCGATTGTTTCGATACCACATTATTTCGAATCTATGACAGCCGATGGTTCAACGAGAATATGTCCTCTTTTACAAATCTAACTATTTGTACATTTCAGCTGCCTATGAACATAGGATTAGCAAAGCGATCGATATTTACATTGACACACAATGCTTTATTACGACATCGCGGCCACAGACTCATTAACAACTTGTTGCGACAAATTTATTGATAAAGCAGCAGTCGGGATTATTTAAAGAAGGCTTCCCGAACGGCGAAGGAGTACAACCCCACTCCTTACCGGTTAGAATGCGCTCAAGTTGATGACGGCGAAAGGGGTGTACACGGAGAAGCCATGCGTCTATTGGCCAAGGTACGTTAGGATTGGAGTTTAGTGAGTGTAGTATATGAAAAGGAGTGGCTTTGAGGTGGGAAGCAGATTGCGAACTAAGGACCAGCTAACATATTCCCTTTTCATTTTGCCAACAACTGATCACCCGACCTCTTTGATATGGCTAACAAAAACTGCTTTGTCGAAATACGATTGTTGGTTGCAACCACGTGCTCATGAGAAATCGAACTTTTCATATAAAGATAAAGTGTACTTGACTTTCCGTATGTACAAGACCGTCGGAGTGGAGATGATTCAAACAAACTATTATAAACTCTAGATCGAATGTTCGTCAGTATCTATTGATCTTATAAATTTGTATAGATTCCAGGTTTAAAATCTTTGATTATCGGTAATAGTCAAGACCAAGACCAACTCTTACATAGACTTTGATCGCCGACAAAGGCACCCGTCTTCATTAAACTATCCACATGTTGTTATCGTGTCATCGATCTGCGATATTCATTCACGCTTAATTATATCGCATTGCAATTTAGCAATTTTTGATGTGATCACCTAGCAATCGCTAAAATTATTCCACATCAATAGAAGTGCTCGAGAAATATTGCTATCAAAATGTTTGAAGATTTTTAGATCATACCGTCAATGCATTGCTATTGCTAAATCGTGAAATACATTGGTGTAGGGATGAT